TTATGCTAATCTCAAGAAATGTTCATTCCTCACTACAAGTGTGACATTTCTTGGATACATCATCACTGCTCAAGGTATCAAGATGGACCCCAGTATGATTGATGCTATTGTCAACTGGCCTACACCAACATCGATGCATGATGTTCGAAGCTTCCATGGCATGGCATCTTTTTATCGGAGATTCATCAAGAATTTTAGTTCTATTGTTGCCCCTATTACTGACAGCCTTAAGGGTGACAAATTTTCATGGAGTGACAAAGCATAACAGAGTTTTGAAGAATTAAAGAGGAAGCTCACTGAAACCTCTGTACTTGCACTTCCCAACTTTGACCTAATGTTTGAAGTAGATTGTGATGCTTCTAATGTTGGAATTGGTGCAGTGTTAAGTCAAGAAGGTCGACCCATTGCCTTCTTCAGTGAAAAGTTGAATGACACAAAGCTCAGATATTCCACCTATGACAAAGAACTCTATGCAATTGTTCGAGCCTTGGAGCATTGGAGTCATTATCTTCTTTCCAAAGAATTCATCTTGCACTCTGACCATGAGGCATTCAAGCACTTGAATTCTCAACAGAAGATTAGTCGCCGACATGCTGCTTGGAGTGAATTTCTACAAGCTTATCCTTTCCTCCTCAAATACAAATCTGGAGTCTAGAATCGTGTAGCTGATGCTCTGAGTCACCAACATGCCTTGCTTACTTCCGTACAAATGAAAGTCACTGGATTTGAAGTGATCAAGGAGTTGTATGAGGATGATCCTAATTTTAGCAACATTTGGCAGGCCACTTCTAATCAAGCCTTTCAACAATATCATCGCCAGCAAGATTACCTCTTCAAGGGTAACCGACTATGTGTTCCACGTTGCTCACTCCGAGATTCCATTATCTGGGAAGCACATAATGGTGGATTAGCTGGTCATTTTGGAAGAGACAAGACTTTAGCTCTTGTTAAAGAAAGTTTTTACTAGCCAAAGTTGGAGCAGAATGTCATTCGTCACATTCAAAGATGCAAAGTTTGTCACCAAGCCAAGACAATCAATCAGAACATAGGGTTGTATTTGCCATTGCCTATCCCAACATCACCTTGGGAAGATGTTAGTATGGATTTTGTCCTTGGTCTACCATGAACTCAACGAAGCAAGGATTCTATCTATCATGGTCGTGGTTGACAGATTTTCTAAAATGGCTCACTTTATTGCTTGTCAGAAAACTAATGATGCTTCTCTCATTGCTGAGTTATATTTTAGAGAGATTGTGCGTCTACATGGAGTTCCAAAGACCATCACTTCAGATAGAGATGTGAAGTTCATGAGTCATTTTTGGAGGACTTTATGGAGAAAGATGGGCACTCAACTCCAGTTTAGTTCTGCTAGCCATCCCCAAACTGATGGGCAAACTGAAGCTATCAATAAGATTTTGGGGAATGTACTACGAAGTTTTGTGGGAAAAAATTTGCGACAATGGGATCTTGTGCTTGCCCAAGCTGAGTTTGCCTACAACAACTCTTTGAATCAAGCTACGGGAAAATGCCCATTTGAAGTAGTATATGGAGTGCATCCTTTCAGTCCTTTAGACCTTGCTCCATTGCCCACATCCCAACAATTTAGTGCAGATGCTAAACAACGAGCCAAGGAGATCAAGAAACTTCATGAAGAAGTTCGTGAGAAGCTACAACGTCAAACCATTAGGTATAAGGCTCATCATGACAAGCATTGAAAGAAGGTTGTGTATAAAGAAGCAGATTGGGTTTGGATACACCTTCGAAAGGAAAGGTTTCCTAATCGACCTAATGTCAAACTCTCCCCTAGGGCAAATGGTCCTTTTCAGATAGTGGAGAAAATCAATGATAATGCCTACAAGATCAAAATTCTAGGTGACTATGGAGTCTCTACTACTTTCAATGTAGCTGACCTATCTCCTTACTATGAGGATCATGAGCATTGAACTCAAACTCGAGGACGAGTTTTCTCCAACCAGGGGAGAATGCATCAGGGGAAAGCACCACAAAAGTGCACCAAGATTGCAAGTCAGCAAATTTCAGACTACACTCTGCAGACTACAAATAGGCCGGTGCAATTTTGTCAAAAGTGGCCACTAAATTCCACAAAGATGG